TCAACTTCTTCAGCTGTAATGAAAAGTGCAATCCAGGACCAGGATGAGAGATCATTTTATACCCACTGAGAAGGCTGTAACAAAAAGACAAACAGGTTTACATGTGGAGGAATTAGAACCATATTGTACTGCTGGTGGTGGTGATGAATGGAACAAGTACTTTGGAAAACAGTATAACGGTTCTTCATAAACATACAGTTCCCACATGAGCCAGCAATTCCAATGATAGTATCAACCCAAAAGAAAAGAAAGCATGTTTATGAAATAAGCGGGTAGTAATGTTCATAAAAGTCACAATTGGAAACAATCAGAAAACCAATGAACTGTTAAGTAAACAAATAAAATATAACATATCCGTACTATAAAATATTATACTGCTGTAAGGAGAACTGAAGTATTAAAACACACAACAACATGAATAAAACTAAAAACCATAAAAAAACACCAAAAAATTAGGCTAGGTGAAATGCCATTTACACAGCACTCTAAACTATATGATTCCATTTATATGAAATATCTAGAGAGAATAACCTATAGAGAAAGAAAACAAATTGGTGTTAGATTAGGACTAAGTGGTCATGTGAGATAACTTCTGGGTCATTGTAGTTTCTTTTATGTTGACAAAAATGTTCTAAAATTATGTAATGGTGATGGCTTCATGATTCATTAAACATTCTTAAATCTATTTGGATTTTATACCATAAACAGGTGGGTTTTATGCTATCAAAATTAAATCTCATTTTCTAGTGTGTTATAATAAGTATAATAATAAAAAAGTAATTTTCAGCAAGAAAATAGTCATATCCTGAGACATTTTAGGTATTTAGTTAAAATATTTTATATTATTTCAAGTTTATTCTTCCTTTCTACTAATAGTTCATTATGTAAAATTTTTAAGAAATGCATTGTTTGTATTACCTATATCAGTTTAAATGCATTTTTGTTTAGAAAATTGTTTCACTAACTGGTTATTCATTGGATATATGGGGTTCAAATACAATTTTAAAATAACTGATAAAAAATAAAAGATTTCAGATTGGTTAAATGATTTAAATTCTTTCAAAATTAGTCTCATAAAAAGGATGAAACTCACTCTCACTACTGACAAAAGAAGCTATCCATAAATACCACCTAGTGGAAAATATTGTTATACTCACAAAGGATCATTAATTACTGTCTTCAGTGCATTCAGCAAGTCTGTACTCGACATTGTGTTGAAGTCCACTCTAACGGCTGCACCCTTGGCCATCATGTGAGCAATGTTATCAGGTTGATCCGCAAACAACGGAAGGCCCACCATAGGGATCCCATGGTAGATCGCCTCATAGATGCCATTGGCTCCACCATGAGTTATGAAAGCTCTGGTTTTTGGATGACCTGGGATTGAATGAATTTTATCCAAATTATCTGTAGGAATAAAATGCGATAGACACACAACGAAAGGCTCTGAAAGTGATGGTGTTTTCTGGATAACACATTGAACTAATTTGATATTACTTTTCAGAGTTCAGAGGAAAAACACGTACTTGTGCTAGATATGTAAGTGAAGACTATATGGTTGTGTAACTTCAGACTGCAAAAATTCATGCAAGATTTCCCGTTGGACTAATCAAAAAGTTCATTCTAGTTTTTAAAAAATGTGCAAAGAGCAAAACCAAAGAGATTGGCATGACATAAAGTGCTATTTTAAGTGCAGTCACAGAGTGTGATTTGTGAAGTGTGCAAGGCAGCAGGCAGTGGGTTGGTGGTGGTGCTAGGATTGAGAAAAGATAGGTCACACTTCATCGTAAAATGTATTATCATTTTATGATTAAGATTAGGAATTTAATCCTCTAGATAATGCAGAGTCACTGGTGATAGAGGAGCTATTATTTTTAGTGGCATTTGAAATAACCCTGCAGGAAAGAAAAAACAGGTGTAAAGTTGTAGAAATAAGAGACAAAGAGACAGCCCAGAAAGTATTGAAAAATTCTGTGAGATATAATAACACCTGAAATAAAGATTCCCTCTGATTATGACCATAAAGGATGCGAATGTATATCATAAAATGACAATATTTATAGCGTATTCTTCCCCCCTCGGACTGGAAAACAAATATAAAGAAGTTACATATGGTTTTTCCATAACAGATATTCAATAATCTTATTTCATGATGAAATATTAACACTCTAATGTGCTGTTACTAATATATTCAGTATTAGTATTTGTTCACCAGAGTTTTGCATTGTTCACCAAAGTCACCAGGATTGTCTACTCAGAGTCTTACCTAAAAGGTCATTCTGGGGTATCCACTTGTACAGTCGAGTATTGGGACCTAAGGCATCTGGTTTATTTCCATCAAATCTCCACAGAACCTGTTACAGTAAAGAAAATATCTTATTCCATGAATGGAACTCAAAAGGTATAGAACTGTAAAAAGAGTAGGAATGAGATCAAGGGATGCTAGTAAATAAGGACTACTCAAAGAGTGATGTAAATAGAATACTCACACTTCATTGCTTAACTTTTATAATTAGTTAGGTATATAAGGAAATCATGACTTTCCAAAATAATACCTTAGACAAATGATATTATCATTGAAAAGTTCAAATATTTTAGAAACTGTTACACATTTTAAAAGAAGACCTATGTGCAGCCAACCATCATATCACAAAAAAGCTTAACATCACAGATCATTAGAGAAATGCAAATCAAAACCATAATGAGATAGCATCTTACACCAGTCAGAATGGCTATTATTAAAAACAAAAAATATGATGCTGGTGAGGTCGTATAGAAAAGGAATGCTTACATGCTGCTGGTTGGAGTGTAAGTTAGTTCAATCATTGTGAAAGACAGTATGGTGATTCTTCAAAAATCTAGAGGCAAAAATACCATGAAACCCTGAAATCCCATTCCTGTGTATATGACCAAAGGACTTTAAATTATTTTTTTATAAAGACCTATGAACACATATGTTAATTGCAGTACTAATCACAATAGCAAGGACATGGAATCAACATAAATGCCCATCACATATGGATTGAATAAACAAAATATGGTACAGACACACTATGGTATATTATGCTGCCATAAAAAGAAAACAAAATTATATATTTACAGGGAAATGGATACAGTTGGAGGCCATTATTCTTAGCAAACTAACTTCAGAATGGAAATCCAAATATGGCATGTTCTTACCTATAAATGGAAGCTAAAAGATGAGAACATGTGAACACACAGATGGGAACAATATACCGTCTATTAGAGGTGTATTACAGTGTGGAGGATGGGAGGACAGAGAGGTTCAGGAAAAATAATTTACGGATATTTTAGTCTTAATACCTGGGTGACGAAACAATCAGTACAACCAACTCTCATGACACAATGTAAAAAACTGCATATGTACCCCGAACTTAAAATAGAAGTTAAAAATAAAAGTCAAATTAATTTAATTTTAAAAACTAAAAATAATCTAAAAAATATATAAAAAATATAGGTAGTCATTATAATTCTAGTGTAAAAAAAAGTAACAATTTAGTAATGACCTATAGTTTTATTTTGTTTTATGTATTTTATATTAGTTTTCATCTTCCAAATTTAATTTTAATGTATTCATTTCTTTTTGAGTAATATGGAAAGTAGTTCACATCTATCTACTTGTCTATAGGTTCTTATATTAGAGCCTGTTGTCCTTTGATCAACAAAATAGCAGGTCTATAAAATAAGTAACTTACAATAAATAAATTAATGCTGCAAAGATAGTATGTATAACTTCATTCGAATTACAAATTATCAAGCACTGCTTCCAAGAGAAATTTCAAGTGACAATTTTTGACACAAATTCAGAGTATTGTCAGTATTGCTGATTTGGGATTTTTTTTTGCATAGAAATGAGGAACCTGTTGGTATCATGAATAAAAATACAACTGTTGAATGAATTCAAAGTTGCATTTTGCTGAATTTGGTCAACTGATTATTAACACTTAGACAATGTGCTACAAAGCTTTGACAATGGTGATTAATATGATCTGCTATAGTAAAAGACATTTTTATGTTTAAGTTGCTAATTTTGAAACTCTCAAGCAATCCTCAAACTGAACAATAATTTACAGTGTTTACTATTTGCTGCATCAGAAATATTTATTAATATACTTAAAAAGTTTGTTCCTTGTGTTGGAGTAAAATACATTAGCAACACCTTCCAGACACCGTCTTTATAAAAGTAAAACTCCTAGATCCTGAAATGTACAATAGTAGAGTCTAGAATTTACACTTTTATTCACAGGACTGGAATTAATTCTCCTACTACCCTACTCCCCACACGTTGCAGTTATTATTCCTAAATTAATGACATGCAATCATGTTATACTATCACAGATCCTTAAATAGAATTTATACTGCATAATTACTAACAGAGCCAGTCTTCTCTATTTGTTGTCACATATTTTATATAAGCATGTGACTTAAAGTACAAATAGAAATACGACATCCCATAATTGTAAACATTCACCAAGAGCTTGCTGAGTACAATGAGTGATAGAGGTGGCCCAAGAGTCAGTCAAGTATTCTTCACTCATTACATACTGCTGGGATAGCTAAACTGTTTTGAAGGCAAATTATCATGTCTTACTTTTATTTCTACAAGGACACAGTTCTGGATATATATTTTTAGTTGAAAACACCTGAAAGTCATTCTAAAGACTACATTAAGCACCATTTTCACTTACCTGAAATATGTTGAGTTAAATTCAGCCGTTTGTATGACTGTTAATATCAGAAATTAAAATAATTGTTGGTCTCAATTTCCCTTTTGTGGATACTTGTGGAGTACTGAGTTCCCACTGATGCTAATAGGAACCGCTCATGCATACCAAGAATAGTAACTCCCGCAGAGTCACATGGAACCCGTTAAGTCTGACGCACAGATATTACTTTGGTTAGTGGATGCTATGCAAGCATGTTTAAGACTGTATTTGGGTATAAATAATCGTTCAGTCTAATCTTTAACATTCTTTCTCTGTGTATCACATATATAAATCAAAATTTTATAGGATAGGAGGTGAAAAGTCTCCAAACGCTTTTTAAATACCATCCTCCATACAATTTACTGTCAGCATATTTACATAGGGAGTGTTCATACTTAAAACTGTTTTTTAAAATGCAACCACAATTTTCAAACTTCTCACAGTTTATCCAGGATTATCCTCGTTCTCATTTTCTGAATTTTGGCCAGCTTCACATTTGTCAGAAGTTTCTATAATTGGATTATTTAAAACTTTGACAGCCTCTCTCAGTAGTTTTCCAAACCACTAAGGCACTTGATCTAACCTTTTGTGGGATCTTGGCAAGGGCTGATGCAATTACGTTGGCCCTTTCTTCTGTCATGGTACTGACCATTGACCCCAGAGAAAACACCACAATACCATTTTCTCCAGAGCTCTGGACAAACTCTTCCATTTCCTGTGAAAAAAGAATTAGTTCCATCAGAAAAGAGTATTAGTACAGAAGGTACTACTGAAAGAATTGGTACAAATTACTAAAGAGAGAAAATCAAGTATTTTGAGGAATTACTGGAGTAAATAATATTTTTTGATTGACTCACTCAGTTTCTTTGCAAGAAGATGTATGAGACAGGTGGCCTCTGCTAAGGATATTTGTGTAAATATGTGTGTGCGTGTGTGTGTATGTATGTGTGTAAATGTGTGAGGGAGAAAAGAAATACAGCTGTTACATTGTAGTGAGAGAGATAATGTTAAAAAATATACCCAGATTCTTCACTTAAAATATTATACTTACTTATATAGGTTCTTGGAAAGTGGCACCACTTGACGTTAATTCTATATTGTTCTACTAAATCATTTGTGTTTATTTCAGGCATGTTTTCTGTAGAATTATTTTAGTTTGAAGCTGTTAGTGGTTTACTTCTCTAACTATGAGCAGTGAGGAAAAGTTACAGTTGGGATAATTTTACATCTACATTTATGTTACTCTACAATACTTTATAACTTCACTTAAAGTTTGTCAGAGTTTTCCAAAAAATAAAATAAACAAACGCTGGTGGTTAAAAATCATTGACATTCTCGAGTCTGGCATTGTGATTTGGAATTTCTATGAATTATTCCTGAAAGTCTCACTTATAACACAGAATTATACAGTATATAGTTAGATAGCTGAATTATCATATTTTTCAGATTATTGTTTAGGTAGAACACCTATTGCCCTGAAATCACACTGTTAAATTGATGTGCTATTTATAACTGCATTGAGGAACTCTCATCATCACTGTGTTGTGTCTCAGAGGCAGCATTTGTATGTAATAAAGGAGGCCACCGGGCCTTCCCAAATGGGAGATCTTGTCTCTCTTTTGAGTAGCTCATTCACACTACGTAACACTCCTGGTGAAGGTGTGCTTGGCTGCAATTGATTGAGAATTATTCTGGCTTGCATTCCCCAACGTATGGCAATATTTAAATTTAAATACTTTCAGATTTAATCATTAGGGTAAAACTTTTTCTAATGGTTCTTAACAAAATAAAGAAAAAAGTCCAAAGGTTAACTCCATAGACCACATGTTGCAGAGTGTTTTTTAAAATATGATTTTTAATCTTAACGTGAAAGTCATTGTATTACTCTAGGTAATAATTAGGGCATCTAGGCATCATGTGTGTTTGCAGTTACCTGTAGCTATGTTCAGTGTAACTGCTGTTCAGTGTTTTATCTCACTGACTTGATGCCCGGAGCCTTCTTTATCCGGTCAGTTTGGATAAATAATATCTCAGTAATTTTGTTAATAATATATCATAAATAATATCTCAGTAATTTTAGAAAAATGTTATTTAATTTTAGAAAAATGTTATTTCAAAAGAATCTTTTCATACTTTTATAAAATTTCTTACATTAATCTTGTATTTTATAATGTTATCACAGAAGAAGAAACAACCAGTTTATATGAGTGATGAATCTGTAAACAGGTTAGATACTCTCAACTATAATACGTTGATAGTCTTCTGTGATAGAAACAACAGTTAGTAATTATCACTATTGTACTACTAGTCAACCTTTTACTTGTCCTTCTATACCTCTTACTCTCTTTTTTCTCGTACTGCCACTATCAGTTTCCCTTAGTGTGAATGGGGAAATCTTTCAAAAGTAGGATGTGGTGGCATAGATTTTTCATAGGTCTTACCTCAGTTTTTGTCTCTAAAGAAAGTTACCATATAAAGCCCATGTAATTTCCATTCAACATAGATATTGAGTTTTAACAATGGAATAAAATCTCAGTTTTATGTCGACAAAAATGATGTTTTAAGAGATTATATAATAATGTAATAAAGAATGCCTGCTTTGTACATATGTCTTAAAAGCATGATATTAACTTAAAATCTATGAAGTTCTTGTGTTCCTTCATAAAAAATATAATCATATATGCTGACAGAATTGGTTTTGGTATTGAAACAAAGAGCACTATTCAGATACAAGTGGTGAGATTATTTGGTCTTTATCATACATGCATTGTTCATTTTCTCTGTGCTTCTCTGTCAGGAAGCTATGATGTTGAGACAAGTCTCCCACGGAAGCTTTGCTGAGTTGCTTGTTATAAGGCAGAAATCACCTGCTCTTACACGGTATGTTTATGCTCTAATATGTAAACCTCCAGGATCTGAATGCAGAATGATTTAAATGCTTTAAGAAGATCCAGTGAACACTGGGTTTGCCTACAAATATTAAAGGCACACATTTATATTGTTGAGGAAGTGTTTTAAGCTGGAATACTGGTGAAGATCCTTATAACTTATGGTAAAATTTTAGAATTTCAGTTAGCTCGTCTTACTGCCAAAACTGACATGTTTACTTTTAATCAAGCCCACAGGATATCTGTTATCTACGACTTTGCAAGAGAATATAAGCTTGATGTGCTGAACAATCTGCTTCTATTAAATGAAGAATGGTATCTCAAGTGATTTGCACATTTTAAGTAATTAGTGGTGTTACCAATAATAACAGAAGAACCATAATTGCAAAATTAATATTTCTGAGTCCCTGACTATATGCCAGAGACATTTTAGTATTTTGTGTTTTGTCCATGTTAGTATTTTTTCCACACAACACTATATGAAATTGGCACTAGTTCTGTAAATGTAGACATAATTATTTCTATCAACATTCTAATCCACTTTTCTGTGATCTGCTACCTGAATCTATGCAAAATTTCTTGAATGGTCGGCTCATAACAGCCTGGCCCTTCTGCAATTTAAGCCACTGAATATCTTGGAAGTATATCCTTAAAAAGAGACTCTTTTGATATATCTTTATTTCTTAATTTTTAGTAGTTTTTCAATGTGCTTAGTAAATATTTCAACTCCTAATAGGTATCTGGCTCTAATTTGCCTCTCAGCATCATCTGATTCTTAGCCTCTCCCTGCAAACTGAACTTGGAGACTTGAGAACTGACCTGACCACTTTATCTGCTTTTGTTTTTTGTCTGTCTCTCCCTGTCATTTTTCTAACTATTCCTGCATATTGTTGAGCTCTCAGCTTACTAATCAGTGACTCCAGGTTACTTTCTATTATCTCTACTGATGCTTTCTTGGCATTGGGTTTTTCCTTGAGATAATAGTTTTTATAAAATTTTTATTACTTTCTTATATTCTAGATTTTGAAGGAGAATGTAAGGTATGTTGGAACAGAAACTGTGTCTATTTATTTTCTGTGAAAATGCTGCGCTTACCTGTGTCTTGTGCTAATCTCTTTATAAATATCCTTTGAATAAATGAGCAATACCTTCTTAGGTGTTGTGTAATCAAGGCTTTAATTTAACCAACACTATTTTCAAAGTTTCTTTAGTATTCCCTTCTATTTGTAATATTCATGAAACTCACATAATTGTGATAGTATCAACATGTACGTGAGCTTCTAATTGGTATCTGCTTTACCCCACCCACTTCACAGCTTTCTTTCAGTGTAAGTCAAACACTGAATGAAAACTATAGAATCATTTCTACTGAAAATTCAAAGCCAACAAAATAAAACCAATGAAAGTATGTTTACCCTAGGTAGGGGTTTGGCAGGTTTGCAGTGGAGTCCTCCGACATAAACAATATTTGGTAATAGTGGATGAGGAAATTGAAAATTCCAGGAGTTTCGAATAAGCCATATGTCGGCTTTCCCCATTGTCTCAAATAATGTAGTGGGTTTTCCTGATAGGAATAAAGAAAAGAAAAGGTGAATGACACAAGATAATTACTTTAGGTAACTTTCTGAAAGGGGTTAGAATAACGTAGACAAAAATGTAGGCAAAGCATCTGTGCTTTGAAAAAATATACATATATTTATACATAGGCATCATTTATTTTTTATTATATATTTTGTCCATGTATAGTTATAAGAAAGGCAAAGTGGTAGGAGAATTGTGAGGTAAGCTACATCTCTAATGTCACATCAGTATTCTCACAATCATAAACAATTATTAAAATAAGTCATAGAGAATTAAATATCAATTTAGTTTCTCTTTAAAGCTTCAATAGTAGCATACAGACATTTAGACAACTCTTTGAGGTCCATAATCAATTAATTTTACTGTACCCATAAAAGTAATTTTCTAAGAAATAGTCTAGTTTGCACAAATCATTAAGCTAATCCTTTTATCTTTGGTTCTTCAACTGAAATGTGGAATATTTTGAGAGTATGGCTGAAATACTTGTACCAACTACTACTTTGGATTCAAGCTAAGATCTTAATAACATTATTTTTTTAAGGAAACATATTGGTAAATTATAGATGGAAATTTTTGAGAAATTATTGAAATATAGATTTGTACTCAACTTTAATGTTTCATATTTTTTATTAAAGAGACATAGTTTCAAAAGAAAACTATATAGATATAACAACCTTTGCACCTCAACAAGATGATAGGACTTTAAATGAATGATTTCCAATTCTTTAGTGAAGAAGTATAGAAACATTAGAAACTTTAAATTACCCTTATCGATTTTTGCTTCTGAGATACAGACATTTCTGTATCTCAACTTTTTTTCTCTCAGCTCTGAAGGAAACCTTCTGGTAACATGGGAACATCTTTAAATTTCTAAATAAGAAAACTGAGGTTTACAAGAAGAAACAATTTCTGCAGTTATATAGATAGTTGTAGAAAAATGTGTAACAATTCCTTCTAAATCTGTGTGTTCAGTGTTACTTGATGGATTTTACTGTTTCTAAGATGTGAAACAGCGTATAGTAAAACAGATGTGTAATTGCTTAAAGTCTTAGGTGAACTAATATATAGGTGTATGATTTTCTGTGGTGCTCTGTATGGGTGATGACCACAGGGTTTTAACCGATTCTATAATTTAAACTTTTTTATGATATTTGTGAAATTGATAGATCATCCTGTATTTTCATTTCATAAATTCACTTACCAAAAACCCCACTACCCTGATCTTATGGCTTTACATAAGCTCTGCTTCAAAGACACAAATAAGTTAGATCTTGATACCGAATGGAAAAATTACTTACCTAGAACTTCACTATAAAACTGATCCCACTTCTTCATATCAAATATTTGGAACCAAAAGTCAAAATAAAGCATATAGATCATATTTTTTACCCTCTCCATGAAAGTCATTTGATCACTTAATTCTGACATAACAACAGGTACGTAGGAAGGAGGAAATGGAAATCCTCCACTATGCTTTTCAATAGCGTAGCCAGGAGAGAAGCAGAGACTGTACACAAAGGGTATGTTTAGTAGCTCAGCCAGCAGCTCACCGCCGGGAAAAACAGCATCTGCAAAAACGACGTCAAATCTTGACTCTTGTAATTTTTTCATTAATTTCTTATTTGAGAATAAATCTTTACAGGTATTTCTATTTATGTCACTAAATATCCACATAATTTCTTGTACTTGTGAAAAATATGACCAAAATGTATCTTTTGGAAGGTCTGACCATTTCTTAACCTGTTGCATGGTGATATTGTCCATCTCAGTTTTAGTTAAAGATGTAGGAAAAACTTCAAGTTTAAGAGTGGATGAGTTGTTGGGATCAAAAAGAATGGAAGCTGAAGACGCCAGTACAGTCACCTCATGACCTTTCTGAACAAGCTCATTCAGGATAATCTTCATATTCATCCAATGGCTGTATTCTGCAGCCCACACCAGCACCTTTCCACATTTCCCAGAGCTAAAGTAAAAGCTCAGTTGTATTAGCAGAAGTACGGAAGTCCATTTCACAGACATCCTGGTGCAATGCAATGCTTGTTTTCCAATCGCTGTTTCTTTCTGTCATTTCTCATGGTTGTATCCAAAGATAAATTAGTCAAGAAGTTAAAATGTAACCCTTATAGTTCAAAGTACATACATTATCAATTAATCAACAGTCTGAGCATGTGGATGGCAAGGAGGCATATGAATGCAAATGACCTATGTACAAAGGTATGTTTAAGGTCTCTTTTATGTTTATAGGCGCTGTCCCTCAGCTAATATAAATGATCTTGTATGGAGAAGCCACCTGTCTAAAATAATACATTTTAGATGAGTGTCCAGAACAGTACCAGCGAGAGGCTCATGTTTCTGCAGTCCATTTGACACAAATAAAAGATAAAATAACTAAACGTGGTTCAAAGATATTTTGTAAACTTTGTTGACATATAATTTATGTATCATACAATTTATCAATTATTGCATAAAATTTAATGTTCCATTGTATATTTACAGAATTGTGCACCTACCATAACAATCAGTTTGAGAGCCCTTATATCACCCCAAAATAAGCCCAATAGAATTCAGCCATTTTCTCTCCACCCCTAGTTTCTGCATTTCCCCTATAGATTTGCCTATTCTGGACAATTTTTTAAATACATGGAATCAGATAGCATGTGATATTTTGTGACTGTCTTGATTATTATTATTATTATTATTATTATACTTTACTGGGGTACATGTGCAGATTGTGCAGGTTTGTTACATAGGTATACACGTACCATGGTGGTTTGCTGCACCCAACAACCTGTCATCTACATTAGGTATTTCTCCTAACGCTATCCTTCCCCTACCTTCACACTCCTACAGGCCTGTGTGTGAGGCTCCCCTCCCTGTGTCCATGTGTTCTCATTGTTCAATTCCCACTTATGAATGAGAATATGTGGTGTTTGGTTTTCTGTTCTTGTGTTAGTTTGCTGAGAACGATGGTTTCCAGCTTCAGCCATGTCCCTGCAAAGGACATGAACTCATTATTTTTTTATGGCTGCATAATATTCCATAGTATATATGTGCCACGCTTTCTTTATCCAGTCTATCATTGATGGGCGTTTGGGTTGGTTCCAAGTCTTTGAGATTGTGAACAGTGTGGCAATAAACATACGTGTGCATGTGCCTTTATAGTAGAATGATTTATAATCCTCTGGATATATATGCAGTAATGGGATTGCTGGGTCAAATGGTATCTCTAGTTTAGATCCTTGAAGAATGTTTGTTGGCTGCATAAATGTCTTCTTTGGAGAAGTATCTGTTCATATCCTTCACCCAGTTTTTAATGAGGTTGCTTGTTTTTTTCTTGCAAATTTGTTTAAGTTCTTTTTAGATCCTGGATATTAGCCGTTTGTCAGATGGATAGATGTGTGACATTATTTCTGAGACCTCTGTTCTGTTCTATTTGTCTATATGTCTGTTTTGGTACCAGTACTATGCTATTTTTGTTACTGTAGGTTTGTAGTATAAAAGACCTAGAAATACAACATACACAGGATGTGAAAGGCCTCTTAAAGCAGAACTAGAAACCACTGCTCAAGGAAATAAGAGAGAACACAACTAGATGGATAAACATCCCATGCTCATGGTTAGAAAGAATCAATATTGTGAAAATGGCCATACTCTCCAAAGTAATTTATAGATCCAATGCTATTCCCATCAAGCTACCATCAACTTTCTTCACAGAATTGGAAAAAAAAACCTGCTTTAAATTTCATATGAAACCAAAAAAGAGCCCATATAGCCAAGACAATTCTAAGCAAAAATAACAAAGCTAGAGGCATCACCCTACCTGACTTCAAACTATATTACAAGGCTATGGTGCCTGGCTTCTTTTATGTAGCATAATATTTTAAACCTTAATTTATTATATAACATATACTTGTTGATTCTTACAACCATCATGCAAGATGTTGAGAGTTTCAAGATGATACTGTCTTTATAAACTTTGTTAAAATAATCAAAGATAAAGGGAGAAGAAGAAAAAAGTAAACTAGCTTGTAGTACATTCAGCATTAATCATTAGGTTAGCTTGCTCTCTGACTCACTTCCTCAGTGTTATTTGGCTACTGTCCTAGAATTATGCAGACTTGTTACAAGATTATAGTTCCTCTTAACTGTTCTGTAGATAATAACTTAAACATTATAAAAGGATCAGCTTTCCTCTTGAGGTATTCCTTCAGGTCCAGCACACTGATAAATCTACTGACTCAGCTGGTCTGAAGGACCTCACTGATGCCAGCTGATATGAAGGACTTCACTGATGCCAGTTGGAGAACAGTTAGCAGATTCAGTAAAACGAAATTCTGAAAGGAATTTCTATTTTTTAAATAAAAGAATTAAAAGTATTGTTTGAGATATACAACACTTTTCATTTCTTTTTCACCATCTATCAAAATATAGTTCTTTGAACCTATTTTAATAGAAATTTCAAACATCTTGTTGAAATGTTCAAGGTGTCATTTGTTGTAGTGATTCTTTCCTAGAGTACTTTGAGATTACATATTTTTCCCTAGAAAAATAATCTTTCATAGAGATAATATTTTAAGTAGTATTTGGACAGGTTTTTCAAAAATGTGGAATACCTACATAAGTTTATTGAAATATTAAAAGAGTAACAATTTTCGAGAGGTAAAAACATGATATATGTTGAAAGAACACATGTTGATAGTAAGCATAATTTCAGATGGGGAGGGTTGTAGACATGAAAAAAACTGTGCATATGGGCATGTATTTATTCCTCAAAATTCCTCGTGATTAGATTTCCCTGAGAAAGAGAAGTTTCTACATTGCTATGTAAATGATTTTTAAAAATGGATTGAGTTATCTTCATTACATATTGACACATTGTAATTGTGTATACTTATGGAATATATAGTGGTGATATGACTTTATGTGCTTATATTTGGTGTATAAAGAAAAATAAAGTCTTCAAGATAAAATTCATAGGCTTAGATATGAATTTGCAGCATGAGTTGAAGAAAACTAAATAGTTCCAAATAATAAAAGTTGTGTTCATAAAATTTGAGCATATGAATGACTCAAGGCTAGTGCCCAATATTGATATGATTATATGATTAATATGCTAAATTTATATAATTATCTTATACTCACTCTAACAGACTCATAAGAGTTGGTCACTAATTTTCAAGTTTTTTCCTTAGCTGGTTGCTATAACATTAATTTTATTAGACATAATGGGGTGATTTACATTACCAAAATTGGCAAAGTGGTATAAAATACTTTTTCTTTTTTATTTTATTTACTGAAGAAGTAGCTGCTAAACATTAATAGCACATCACTAGCTACTAAAATGCAGAAAACAGAGTCCATATGTAGAGTAAAAGTAGATTCTAAGATTTATCAAGTAGGATAACTCAAAGAAAGTAGTCTTTTATGAGTTTTCTGTTGCTACATGACAAACTACCCAATCTTTTGTATGTTAAAAAAAAACCAAAAAACAAAAAGCCTGTTTAGCTCATGGTTTCATGGTTCTTCTCACAATTTTGATCTAGGGTAGCAGAGCTGGTCTCAGCAGGTCTTGCCCATGTTCATGTGCATATAAAACTCTAGGAACCTGGTTGATCCTAAAAGCCATTAGCATGCTTTACAGTTGACTGACCCACGTCTTTGTAGTTGGATATTATGTGGGTGTGTGTCTCTCATCATCACAGTGCATAAGCGTAGTACAAGTGCCAAGTAATAAAATATACTAGGAAAGTCTCATGCACTAAAGTAAATAACATTAAATATACTACATTTATAGAATAGATGTATGATTGTGCACCATAGGTCCTACTGGAAACAATTTTTAAAATTCTCAAACTGCCACTTTCAATTTAAGACTTTACTGAACTATATAATCAAAAGAAATTTAGAAATTTTTTGCATGAAATATATATATTTTGCAAAAAGCATCTATACATGTTAAATAACATAAAGAGTGTTTTAATAGGCCCCAAATTTTTAGGACATTCCAGTTTACATCTTTTCTGCTTGAGTCACTTTAATGATGGCTCAAAAATTGGGTAATTTTAACATTCCATGTGAAACTTTATAATAAATTATTTATGAATATATTTTACATACAAATGATTTTATATAAAAACTTTAAAAATAGTAAATTAAAGATAATTTCTGATATTAGAGATTACCAAAGTGTTAGTTCCTGCCTTCTTTATACTTAATATGTCAATTTGTTTCATACATATTAGTTATGCCCTTTTCACATATAGCTTTATGTTTCTAAAATTTACATTGGTGTTTTATTTTCATCATTATTCCCAAATAATAACACTCTCACTTAATTTCACTTTTGTATACTTAATTTTTACTAGTTACTCTGGTTATATGCAATTCATGTAAAGTATGTAAAATCAAATCCACACTTTCCATTTGTCACACTTTATGTAGAAATTAGGTCATGTTCTCAATCTTTGCATAAGGAGTGTGTGATGATACACTTAAACTCTGGCAATTTATGTTATAGCAATATATAAATGTTTATTATAATCCAATTGTGATTATGAAGTAACATGAGGGCCTATAATATGCCTTTTAAAGATTTCTAATTATGGCATGATGACAAATTCTAACTCTAGTCAAGTGAAAATATTTTCATTACACAGTAAATTTTGTGAAAAAAAAGTTTAGCTGCTTATAACATAGATCTCACCTTATTTCGAGAGCTCAATAGCAGGCTAAATATAATCTCTAAAAATACTTGGTGTGAAAATTAAAGAGAATAGTGTACAGGAACTAAGGAAAGAAAAGCTTTTTATTAGTTCAAAAAATATGATGTGGACTAAGAAATATGAGGTTAACATAATAAATGAAAAAAGAAAAAGCAAAAATTTTATCGGAGTAGACATAATTCAGGTCAAAGTATTAATTGAGAAAAAGAAAAACTTCATATTTTTAAATAAACACAACAAAAAATAAATATGTGTATTAATTATACATATGAACCAATATCTACATTTTTAGAGTGCTCTAAAGCTTCTCACATTTTTTAAAACAAAACTTCTCACATTTTCAAAAATAAA